ATAGACATAGAGATAAAAGGAATAGTATTCAGAGTCCAGAAACAAACCCTCCCATTTAGAGTCAATTGATTTTCTAAAAGGGGGGACAAAATAATTCAACAGGGAAAGAATCATCTTTTCAACAAACGGTGCAGGAACAACCAGATATCCACATGAAAAAGAATGATTTTGAGTCTCTACCTTATACTGTTAGAAAAAAAAAGAATTCAAAGGGGATTAAAGACCTAAATATAAGAGCAAACACAATAAAATTCTTAGAAAACACAGGAGTGTAGCCGGGCTCAGTGGCTCAGCCTGTAATCCCACGCCTTTGGGAGGCTGAGGTGAGTGAATTGCCTGAGCCCGCAAGTTCGAGACCCACCTGGACAGCGAGATTTCATCTCTACAATAAATCGAAAAATCAGCCGGGAGTGGTAGCGCATGCCTACTCGGAAGGCTGAGGCGGAAGGATCGCCAGAGCCCAGCAGGTCGAGGCTGCGGTGGCCAGGAGTGGCCACTGCACTCCAGTCTGGGCAATAGAGTGAGACTCCAACTCAAAAAAATAAAAATAAAACAAACAAACAAAAAAAGAAAACACAGGAGTGAATCTTCATGACCTTGAATTTGGTATGGTTTCTTAGATATGACATCAAAAGCACAAGTAACCAAAGGAAAAAATACATAAATTGTATCTCCTCACAATTAAAAATTTTTATGCTTCAAAAAACACTATCAAGAAAATGAAAAAATAACCCACAGAATGGGAGAAAAGATTTGCAAATCATATATCTAAAAAAGGTATCTAAAATATTTAAACAACTCTTGCAGTTCAACGATTTTTTAAAAAAACCAATATTTTTAAGTGGATGTACGATCTGAATACATCCCCCGCCAACAAATGGCCACTAAGCACATGAAAAGATGCTCAACATCTTTGAGTCATTAGGAAAATGCAAATGAAAACCACAGTGTCCACTTCCCACTCACGAGGATGGTTAGAATAAAAAATGCAGACAATAGTCAGGATTTGGAGAAATGGAAATCTTGACTCATTGAGAATAGGAGTGATAAATAGTACAGCTGCTTTAGAAAACAGTTTGGCAGTTGCTTAGAAGGTTAAACATAGGGTTACCTTATGACCCAACAATGAGTAATTCTATTCCTAGGTCTGTATCTAAGATAATTAAAAACTTATGTTCACACATAAGCTTGTACAAGGGTGACCATAGCAGCATTATTCATGACAGTCAAAAATATGGAGACAACCCAAATGTCCATCAACTGGTAAATAAACGAAATAGTCAACATGAAGAAATGAGGCACAGCCATGTCTTGAAGAAAGATACTAGAGCACATGGATCTAGTTGCTCCAAAGATCTGAGAGGAGAGGACTAGGGAACTCAAAGAACTAGGGAAGACATTGTGGAAGAAAGAGAATCACTCTGAAACCTAGGAAAGTAGAAGACAGAATGTTCTACAGGAAGGCCAATAATAGCATTTCCAGGTGGGGAAACAGCTGGACAAAGTCTCGGAGGCAGGAAAGCCTGTTGGATGTGCAGAGGACAGGAAGAAGAAGTCCTCAAGGAAGGTGTGTGGGAGTGAAGAACTGTGGTAGGTAGACAACACCGTAAAAGCTCCCGGTTCAGGACTGGGACAAAATGGCGGGATTTAGTTGACAGCAGGTCCCAGGGTTCATACCCTTCTGCCTTGTGGGGGAAAAGCAGATGTAAGATCTGTTGGTCTGACTTCAGCCCCATCATCCTGTTTTCTTTTTTTTTTTTTTTTTTTTTTGAGTTGGCTCACTCTATCACCTAGGCTGGAGTGCAGTGGCATGCTCACGGCCACCACAGCCTTGACCCGTTGGGCTCAGGTGATCCTTCCACCTCAGCCTGCCAAGTAGCTGGACCTATAGGTGCGCACTACCACGCCCAGCTAATTTTTTGATTCACTGTAGAGATGAGGTCTCACCAAGTTGCCCAGGCTGGTCTCGAACCCCTGGGCTCAAGTAATCCTCTTGTCTCAGCCTCCCAAAGTGCTGGGATTATAGGCTTGGGAGACCGTGCCTGGCTTCCATCCTCCTTTAAACCACAGTTTTCTTCTCCTGACATCCTCATTAAAGAAGCCAAGTATTGGCCCCTCAACCAGGCCAGCAGAGCCTATGCATATCACCTCACATTTTCAGTGTGAGAAACCACCTTCTTCCAGAAAGGAAATCCCACCCAGGGCCCTCCTCACCTGCCCCTGCCCCTGCCCACCCTGCCACGTGCATGGCCTGGGGCTGGTATTTGGCTTCTCCTAGCAGCCTGGGTCTCATTTCACTCCCTAGCAGACCTCAGAAAGGAGAACCTCTAACTCCCAGTGGCATTTAGCTTTGCTCTTTAAACATCTGGGTCACAGATACGCTCAGTTAATTAATGTTCTTAGCACTGCTCGTTTGCCTGCTGGATAATAGATTGATTCATAATTTCAATAAGCAGCTGTGTATATCTTTCCCCTGAACATAAAGGCAACTTGCTCTCATTCACCACTTTGCATTTGGTAAATTTAAATATATTCAAAGAGACATTGTTTAGGGAGGGAAAGGGAGGGCTTCTGATTTTCTTACCATCTTGCCTCTAACAGTTACTCTGATTTGGAACTAATTTGGGTTTAAAGCACACGTTAACCGCATCTCTCTCAAGGGCACTTAATAAACTCTCTGTCCCTTGTTTAACGGGAGCAGGCAAGCCCTCCTCTTGGGATCAGAGCCAAGGGATTCTGAGGTAGATTTCACCAAGAAATGAGAACCCCTGCAGAGAATCTTATCAGCCAGAGAAGAGCCACTCCTGTCCCTGAGCAGAATTATCTTCTTGCTTCATTCCAGGGCAGAAATGCTCAGGCTCTCTGGAGGAGGCCCCTCTGTTCAACTCTGGGCCAGGACAGCCAACTATAGGTTCTATGGAGACCTGAGGAGAAAGGAGAGAACTTAGCCAGCTGTCCAGATGTGTTCACACCTCAGTTTTCTCACCTATAAAATGAGGAGAATAATAGAACCTATTTCACAGTGTTGTTGCAAAAATTACATGATTTCTTCTCTGCACGGTGGTTCAAAATGATGCAGAGTATGTCTTCAATACATGCTAACTGGTAGTATCACTTTTTAATTTATCAGGCACCAGCTGGGTAGATGTGACTGCCTTTTGTAAATGATGACATTCACCCCATTTATAAAGTACTCAGCCCCAAACATGTTTTCGAACGCTTGGCCTATGGTTTGCTCCCAGTGAGTAATTAAATAAATTAGACACAGACCCTACCCCTCAGATATGTGAAAGATAGATGAATGAATTTTCTTTGCATGGGAATATGATTATTAGACAACACGGGCAGCCTAGGCCACATTGTGAGAAGTTTTGCCAGGTGTTACCATCTCTATATAATTAGTTAGCAATAGCTGCACAAGGGCTACTCCAAACAACATGCACTTATTATTGTTCATGAGTCTACAGGTCAGCTGGATGTTTCTATGATCTGGGGATCAGGCTCTGCTGATTTTGGCTGCATTTGTTCCTACATCTCTTATCAGCAGTTAGCAGGCTGGCTGAGGGCTGCCTGATCCGGGTTAGCCTCATCCACTTGTCTGGTGGTTGGCTGGCAATTGGCTGGGCCACATACCTCTCCTCCTCCAGCAGGCCAGCCTGGGCTTACTGCCATGGGGACAGCAGGATTCCAAGTGAGTGAATGGAGGCATACTAGTCTAGGAACAGGTGTGTCCTCATGTCTGCTACATTCCGTTGATCAAAGCCAGTCACAGATGTTCAAAGGATGGGGAAGTAGACTCCATTTTCACAAAAATGGAGTCTAATTGTACAGAAGGAATAGTGGAGGAGGTGGTCATTTTTTTATTCTACCACCATCGTCTGGCATTTGCTCTTGTACATGGAGCGCAAAGCAAGTACCAGGATTGTGTTGCCCACTTAAGATGCTTCTGCTTTTTCATTATTATAAAGGCATGTGCAATTAATACTCTATCCATAAATGCTTGTTTACAATTCTGGTTATTTCCTTGAGACAGATTTCTAAAAGGGGATTTATTGAGTCAAAGACAGTGAACATTTTAAAGGCACAAAGCATCAGTTTAGAAATCCTCTTTTTTTTTTTTTTTGAGTCGGAATCTCACTCTGTCGCCCAGACTGGAGTGCAGTGGCCGCTCCCGGCCACCGCAGCCTCGACCTGCTGGGCTCCGGCGATCCTTCCGCCTCAGCCTTCCAAGTAGCCGGAATTACAGGCATGCGCTACCACACCCGGCTGATTTTTTGATTTATTGTAGAGATGAGGTCTCACCAAGTTGCCCAGGCGGGTCTCGAACTCGCAGGCTCAGGCAATCATCTCACCTCAGCCTCCCAAGGTGTGGGATTACAGGCTGAGCCACCGAGCCCGCTAGAAATCCTCTTTTTGAAAGGTTGTAGTAACTTATCCTCCTTCCAGCCCAACTATAAGAAGGCCCATCTTAAAGTCACCAAAATACAAAGAATCTCCTTTTAAAAATGTGTTATCTTATTGTTGTTTTAGGTTTTCTTTCCTTTATTACCTACGAGGTTGAATGCTGTCTAATGTCTGTTTCTTCTTCAGTGAATTGCCTCTTTGGGCCCTTTGAGTAGGGTAGAGTCAATCAATTTCTATTTATAAATAAGGAGGAAATAGAGACTCAGAGAGGTTAAGTGACTTGTTCAATGTAACCCAGCCAGTCGGAAGCAGAGCCAAGCTTTAGAAATCAGCTATTTTCACTCATTCCTATTGGTGCTGAGAACATGTTTTTAAAAAAAAAATTCAGAGTGGCCAAGGTTTCTGTATCACAGCTCAGCAAGTCTGGGGGCTTTCTAGAACAGGGCTCTTCTGTGAGTCAGGTTTGTGGGGAGCATGATAGGATCAGGATGGTGGCCACGACTACAGTACTGACAGCCGACATGAGCCTCGCTTCCCCTTGTGGTCTCATCCCTACCTCTCACGCCCACGCCCCTGCTGCTCTGGTCTCTCTACAGCTTGCGCGCTACACCAAGGAAGGCTTCCTGCACTTGGGCGCCCTGGGGACCACCACACTTCTCCCTGATACCCGCTGCCTGGTAGACAACTCCAAGAGTCGGCTGCCCCAGCTCCTTGACTGCGACAAGGTCAAGAGCAGTCTGTACAAGCGCTGGAACTTCATCCAGGTGAGTGTCCTTATAGTGCGGGTGCAGAGGCTGCAGGTGGTGCAGGTGCAGAGGCCCACAGGTAAATCTGGGTTCCCCAGGAGTCCCCATTGAAGAGCAACCCAGAACCCAGGCCTCCCAGCTTCAGCCCAAACTCGTGGACCCAAAGCATTTTTGTGGGGGGATTTCCTTCCTGATTCCAGTGTCAGTGCTAGGTTGGTTCAGCTCTTAAGAGGGGAGTGAGTGGACATTTCCCTGACATCTGCTAAGTACTCACAGCCAGTAGGGTTGAGAAAGTCAGATCGTGACTATCCCAGGAAATTTCCCATCCTGACCCTATTCCCTACCAATGCTCCTCACCTGATTCACCTCTTCAAACTTGGTGATGTGTATTTATGTTCTGACTTCAGACCCTCCGGAAGAGAATCCCATGATCGATAGCGCGCTCTCTCTCTCTCTCTCTCTCTCTCTCTCTCTCTCTCTCATATGTCTCTGTCTCTCTCCTCCTTTTCACCCCCTCCCTTCCCAGAATGGAGCCATCATGAATAAAGGCACAGGGCGCTGCCTGGAGGTGGAGAACCGTGGCCTGGCCGGCATCGACCTCATTCTCCGTAGCTGCACGGGACAGAGGTGGACCATAAAGAATTCCATCAAGTAGAGAGAAGGAGCTGGGGCATCCGGAGCCTGGACCCCAGGACATAGCTGGTCCATCCATCTTCTGGACCAGTCACACTGGTGGGGAGACAACAAGAGGCCAACAGGTGCTCAGTGGGCCTCCCAGGGTTTCTCCAGGGCAGCATGGGGGGCCCAGGCGGAGACTTTCTGTCCCCCTCAGGCATTCAGCTGCCCACAAGGCTCATGCACCCTGGAAAAGCCCTCTGCCCCCTCTCTGGGAAACCAGGAGCTGTGTCTTCTGCAGCCCCAGATGTGGACCTGGTACTGAGGAGTGAGACTGTCCATGTCTCCTCCTCCTCATCACCCATCCCAGTATCAGGATCTGGGACTGGCAGGGTACCCCCCTGCGTCTCATCTTTTGCTGCAGCTTCTGAATTCCACCCCAGCCATCAGCACAGTGGGAGGCAGCGAGGCCTTCTGCCACATCCTAGCTTCCCCTCCTCAGAGGAGGTTGCAAGGCACTGGGGCTCAGTTTCCTCTGATATTGCTTCTGCCCTTTAACATCCCAAGGCAGCCGCCACCCCAAACCTTCCCACCAAGGTGGCTTTGGAGACCCCGGCTCTGGACTTTGCTGGACCCTCCTTGGGGTGACCTGGAAAGAGCTAATGCCTTGTCTCCTAGTCAACTGAGCACCAGGGTCCTGTCGACAAGTTTGGGTCAGCCTCCTTGCCTGTGCCTGGAGAAAGCCAGAGACAGAAATAGGTTGTGTATACAGGATGGTCCCAGCTGCGAGGGCCCCACGGGGTGGAGCTAGGTGGCAGACCAGGGGCCCCTGACTCTCAGAGGCTGCCCCCAGGAGCCGCAGGAAGCCTTCATCTAGAACTTACGGGCTGAGGCTGGCACAGCACAGGGCACTGGGACTCTGGAAGATGCTGTGCACTCACCTCATTTCATCCACACTCTGCTGGTTGGCAGGGAACAAGGCAGTCGTTCCTCTCTTAAGAGTAATAATTTTTTCCGATTGCCCTCTGGTTAGGGTGCACTTATAAATCAGAGTTAATATATGGACGTGTGTGCATGCACATGAGTGAGTGTGTGTGTGTGTGTGTGCCCGTGTGCTGCGTGTAGCTGGGTGTGTGCGTGTGTGTTTGGCATGTGTGTCTGAGCGTGTGGCCTTGGGCTTGCCACTTCATGGCTCGCCTGGGTGGGGACATGGCTGCTAGAACGTGTGGGGTTGGCCCCGTGTCACTGGCCGGGAGGACATGGCTCGCCCTGCCCCATGGGGTGTCCCAGACAGAAGGCTGTCCCCCCTGCCAGTCTCCATATCTCCCCCGTGCTGTCCCTGGCCAGCCCCAGCCCAGAGCCAAACCTTGTATTTGCCCTGTTGCCCAGTGTGGGATTCACAGTGTCTCATTTGGTGGCATCTTATTGGTGATCAATCCTCACCCTATCTCCCACCTTGTGAAATAAATACATGCTAGCACTTCCCAAAGCGGCATCATTTGCTTCTTGATTCCTCCAGAACAGAGGCTGGGAAGGGAGGGACCTGGGAGTTTGGAAGGTTTGTTCTTATTAAAGGATAAAAGGTCTTCACCTATTAAGGCTGAGACAAAGCCAGTCTGCCCTTGCATACACCTTCCTCCAAAGCGGGACAGAACTTGACCTTGACACTCACTCACTTACCCCCTTGTGGGCTCCAAGTTAGGAGGGTCAGGTTGGTGTGGAAAGCCACAAGGAAGAGGAGAGCTGCCAGGGGACCTGGCCTGGCTGGCCTTATCTGTCCTCTCCAGCTGCCATCCAGCAAATTCTACCTCTCAAAGCCCTGGAGCCTGTGGTAAAGCATCTTGAAGGTTTATGGAAAAGTGAAATCCTATAAGACTCCAGGCCTTCTGTCATAGAAACAGGCCTGGGGGGAATCGGCTGGGAGTTTCCTTGGCTCTGATAGCCTCTCTCTCTTTCCTGTGAGGAAGCCAAGAAGACCCATCTCCATCGGTGTCACACAACACATCTACACACATGTCAGCCATCATTTTTTTAGGTTCTCTGGGAATCAGAATCCACAAGCACACTGATGACAGATGTAGCTGATTGGTCATGAGGAGTTGGTGAATCTAAATATTGCATCTCATGAAGACAGTGAAAAGAGCCGGCTATCTTCAGGTCCCCTGCATGGGAGTTCTTAGGGGAGAGGTGGACATGTAGAGACCACACCTCGGGGCTAGAGGAGAGAGTCAGTGAGTTACAGCCACACTCGCTGGACTTTGGGCTCATTTGTGCTCAGGCTGCTCCCTGAGATGTAGACATCTGCAGGTGTCCTAGAACTTGAGAGAAATGAGTGCTGCTCTACCTTAGGGCCGCTCTGCAACAGGGCAGAGGGCTGGGCTTGCTTATTTCTGTGTGTGGGGGTGCTGGTTCAGGACCCATGGGATGCTCTAAGACTTAGCTCTAGCCCTTGGCTCCAGGGTCCAAGAGCCTGGACTGCCCAGTCATGTTGGCACCAGCCGTCAGCTTCATCCTAAAAGCTCAGGACTCCTAAGGAGACTGACCAGAGCATGAGGTCAGTATCCAGGGTCAGCGTCCTCTGGACCCCACTGGTCTCCCTGGGCCCGATGGCATTGGGAGTAGCCAGAGACCAAGGTAGAGAGGAGACATTGTGGAAGCCAGAAAGAGGGAGAAAAAGAAAAGAGAAACAGGACAGGGATCGGGGGGGTGAGGAGGGGGGAGGGGTTGGTTCCAAGTCCTTTGGGAGAATTTGAAAGTTCTAGAGACCCCACATCTTGGCACAGTGACTGCCAGGGCAGCACACTCCAAGTCTTGAGCTTAAGGGATGTCACACACTCCTTCATCCTATGTTGGCAGTTGGCACCATCTATAGTTGTGGAGGTGACATATTCATTTACCAGCCCTCACTGTCACCTCTCTCACAGGACGGATACAGCAAATGAGGCCAGGCTGAGACTCTGTCTCCCTCCTGCTCCGCCCTGTCCTCTCCCTTCACACTAGAGCTCTGGCATGCCATTTTCTTTCTCTTTTCTCTCATTTTTTTCCCCCTCAATTTATATGACAAAAAAAAAAATCCCAGATGGTATTCCTGATAAACGTCCAAACTGTCAAAGCCAATGTCTTTGCATCTCTCCGTTATTTCTCAAATGTTTTCTTATGGTTTGACATATGCTGGTGACTAGAGTCAAAGAAGAAATAGAAAAGACAGAGACATCACAGCAGGGGCCGGAAGCCACCATCGTGAGCCACTCCGAGCCTTTTCATGTGGGTTTCTGAAGTCGTTTTTGCCTCATCTTTTTTTCTACCATTCTTAAAAAAAAAAATTTCAGTTTCACCAAGTGAGGCCCTGGCCACGCCACCAGGGCCACAGTGAATTTGTCCCTGACTGGCGTGCTATTCCTCCTTATCCCTGTTTGTTGCTCTGAAGAGGAGTGACAGGCAGCTGGAAATGGGCTCAGGAGAGGGGCTGGGAGCCCACATAGGAAACCAGGAGGCCCATGGAGCCTGGAAACAAGCCAGACAGCTAGGTGCTCTGTTCCTGCTGATAGCCACGGAATTCGCCTCCTGTTTGATTTGAGCTCCTTACTGGCAGTGAGGCAGATAGATCATCAGCTCCTAATCCCACCCCCTCCCCCCAGCCATGAATCTCTGAGTTTTCTCACTTCTCAGGCAAGTTTCCTTGAGTTTGAGGATCAGTGGTGGACCCCAAACTCCAGAGGTGCATTTCACTTCAGTTCAACAAATATATTTAGACATCTCGCCTGTGGTTTGCTTTTTATGACTTTTTGGAGGATAGAAGAAAGGCAAAGAGGCAAGTGATGGAGCTAAAAAACACTAAGTGCAAAAGCATGTGGTGAACAGATAAACAGCATGTCCTTTGCCTTTGAAAGCTCTTATCTGAGAGGAGAAAACAGACACAATGTATTGTAGACAGCCCTGGAGCCTGGGCAACCAGGAAATGGGGTCTTTGCCTATGGGCATGAGTGGGAGGTCTGGGCGTATTAGCAGATTCCAGTGTTCTTTCCCCAAAGAGGACTCCACTGATGGCTGGATCTTGCACATGTGACTCTAAGCTTGACTTCCTCTGCTGCCTGTTGATAACGAGCTCCCAGCACTGCCTGCCCAAGCACGGAGAACCAGAGACAGAGAACCAGACAGGGGTCACTGATGCCGCGGATGGTTCCAGAACACAAGACACTGTCAGACCTAGCCATGATTATTTCCATCCTTAACGAGTGGTCAGAGGCTCATGTTCCTCCAGGATAAAAGCCTCATCTAATCCACTGTCCTAGTGAACGCCCACCCACCTGTCCAGGTAGTCGTTCAGTATCTGCTTGATAAACTCTAGAGACAGGTTATTCTAGGCCTGGAAAAATCTTGATAGTGAGCCAAGCACACCCCAAATCTCAAGAACCTCTTCCCACTGTCCAGCCCTCTGAAGGCTGAAAACAAGACTCAGACTTCTGCTGTCCAATGAGATTAATTGCTCGTTAAAACCTACAGTGCACCTTCAAGTCCATGAACCCCTCTAAGCTTGAACGCTGCCACTGTAACTGAGAGAGAAACAACCTCGATTCCATGGTCAGCACCTTGTGCTCGGTGGTAGGCTTCATTGATGCCACCTGGAGAGATGGTGCACTTTCTTGGCTAGGAAAGCCATGTGCCATTGCCCACGGGCTGGGGCATACATTGTTAAAATTGTTACCTAGCGTTTGTTTCTTAAGGCACAGATGACATCCTTCTAACAAAAAAATAAAAATAAAAAAAGCACTCTCACAGACCCTCAGGGCCGACCTAGTTTATGTTTTATTATTGTGTTTCTCACGTATGTCTAAACATAAAATGGTGTTTGCTCATAGGTCTGGGGCAACTATAAAATGAAAATAAATTTACAAGTGAATATGAACAAATATGCAAAGTGAATAAAATTTAAGTTAGCAGCACTCATCTAGCATGGTGGCAGTGTTACTTGCTGGATTGGAATTGCTGCCGCGGTAGGTGTGAATGTGATACTAACAGTGCCCTAACACCAACTCCCCTGTGTCTTGTGGTAATTTGTTCTCCCTCCACTTTCTGTACTCCAAATATTTTGAAATGTTTACTCACCATTCATTCACTCACCATATATTTACTGAAGACCTACTATCTGTTCAAGCTGTGGCTGAGGATAAAATAATGAGCAAACCCTGCCCTTCAGGCATATATATTCTGGTAGCTTTCCTGGGGGACAAAAGCATTTATATTAAAATCTCAACTCTCTTTTTTTCTTTACGCTGTGACAATTCCTGTAGAACTATTTAGCACCAAGGCTGTTGGAACACAAACGCAAACACATGTCCTGAAATCACTTTCAGTACTCACCCAGTCACCCAGGTAATCCAGAAGATGCTTATATCAAACTCTAGATCGCTATCAAAATGAAAACAAAAAAAATGTGAAAGTCTTACAGACATCTTGTCCCTGCAAAAGTCAGAGGGTCCCCAGATGCCCACGGAGGTCCAGCTGGAGAAGGACAGCTTGAATCCTTTTATCTTGCTGAGGAATTTGATAAGGAAGTGTTCCCAACAGACTCACAACAGCTCTTAACTCTAGGAGAAAAAAATGATTCCCACAGGGTGGGGGTTTTCAACTCTTGCTTTTCTTCCCGTTGCTCACCTTTCCTGCCTTCCCAGATTTGTTACCTTATGGGGAAAAGAACAAATCATGGAGTTGTTTTTTGTTTTTTCCTTTCCATTTTCAACACGGAGTACAAGTTTTCTGGGCAGGACACTGCAAAGCGTGTGTCAGAGTGAGATTTGGGGATTCATGGTGAACTTTGATCAATAGCAGTTGTACTGATCACTGAACACGTGCTTCATTTGGTAGCTCACATTATATCCCATCCCTCAGTCCTGGGATTCTGGGCTCTCCTCCACTGTGCAGCTTGGAAAGGTAGAAGGTGGGATCACTGGAACAGGTAGCAGGCAACAGCATGAACTTTGATTCTTTCTACAGACCCCTGTGGCACAGCTACTGGTCAGTTATAAGGCAGGGCACTTAGAATGCCACCACACAGATAACAAAAGAGAAGATACAGGTTGCTAGGTTGTAAAATTATTCCCTAGATTTTTTGCTCTGATGCCAACGTTCACACCTCTTTCTTTGGATCAGTAAAGTGGCAACCTTTCTCATTCAGAATTTGTGACATTTGCCTGCATATTGCTCATACGAACAAGGCTTAGACAATGAAGAGTTTAGACAAAAAGCTATTTAACTGCAGGGCTTCTCAGTGCCTCAGAGGTCCCCTTGATATGAGTCCTACCACTCTGCTATTTGTACCCGCTTCTTAGATGTTCTCTGAAGAGCATCTGCCACCTGGGGCTCATGTGGAAGCCAGAGAGAAGCTCCGTTCTGGTATATACTGAAACTACACTGATGTTGCCACTGTTTGGTAACTCAGAATCCCTTTGCCCCCAGAAATCCAGCCCTAACCTGCCTAGAATTTGCCTA